TTGAGGTCTGGATGGATTGAGGTCACGACACGAAGGCCAGGCATCGGGCAGGCAATGACCACTACAGGTTTTTATCCAAACTGAGCAGTGATGCTTACAAAGCCAATACAAGTGAATATGCCAGTCCCAGGAGGTAACAGAGAATAAGTAATGTGATCGCTGAGATAAGAATTGTATTAGCCTAGAGTTTCAAAGTCGGTCAGCTGGTAAAATCGCATAAAAGGGTGACACATACAAAAGGATCCGCAGTATATATAGGATACAGTCACCCTGCTACTACGATAGTTCGACCGCCGATTTCAACGATGTCCACTGGGAGCTTCAACTAGTTGAAGCAACGCGGTGGCCCCCGCGAGATGAACAGCAAAAGTATACTCTGGGAGAATCTAATTCAATCTCTGACCCCTCCCACACCGGAACCCGGTTATCAAGAAGGCCGGAGATGTGGAATGGCGCGGACGGCTGGCGCAGACGGCTGGCACGAACAGCACTCAACACGCGTACGAAACAGCATGTCTCGCTAGGTAGGCTCCCATCTGCGAGCGCCATAAAGACCACATTAAGGAGGAGCCATTAATTCTGACAGCCACTCCACACAATAAGGCACACACTGAGCCGACTGCGGCGTCCAAGTTAGTCCAAGTCAGCTGGCAACCCTCCAAACCACGGCTTTAAGCTTACTGCGATAGTTTCAAGTACATTAGATTGCCTATGGGGAGGAATGATATGCACTGAGGATCGATCTCACTCTCTCCCCTCCCCCCCCTACCACCAGTACGCTATTATACACCCATGACAACCAACCAACAGGATAAATTTCCGCTTCTGCGCTTACTACTTAATGACCGGCTTGCGGGCTGCGACCTGTTGACCTCTCATCAAAAGTCACGTCCAACTCCACCACGCGTGATGAAAGTTCAGCAAGACACGGTCCGCACGCGGGCCATCAAGTAATAATCGCACAAGCGGGCAATTATCCCCGATAGGAGGGGAGATGTTAATTGTCATGGGTCTGCAGTAGCATAGTGACTCCATCCTCTAAATACCGCAATTCACTCGGAATTAATAACCGCTTTTTAGGCTACTGTATCTGGTCTCCCTGCCTCTTCTCAGTTATGAAATCTTCACTAAAGTAGAGCACACTGTTGCCAGTGGTACGGCGACTTCAGTACTGCAGACGAATAGGAAGGCTCAAAGGCAGTTAACTGCGTGCAATGTTAAATACCTACAATAATACTAAGTTTATGCTATAAATCTATAAAAAAAGTTATGATTTTCGCAATAATCTGGTGTGCCTCTTACATTAACTTCTGCCGCGGTGACTAAATTACGTAGTACGCAGATGTGCTAAATCATCCTCATATATTGCGACTGTCGTTTAAATTTAAGTATGTTTATAGCTTTTTAATTAATTATTCCCTTTTCGGCACTCCTTGAATTTAAAAAGAGGGCGATTAATTTGCGCACTTTCGA